ACGAAGCCCCCCAGTGGCCCCAGTGGCAGAGTTCGCATGCCTCCCCACCACCCATCTCGTCACACCCCTCACACGTTTCGTGGCCCCATAGGGAGCTCCACCGAAGGCCCCAGTGGCAGGGTCCGCATGCCTCCCCACCACCCATTCGGCACACCCCTCACACGTTTCGTGGCTCCATAGGGAGCTCCACCGAAGGCCCCAGTGGCCTGGTTCGTATGCCTCCCCAACACCCATTTCGGCACACCCCTCACCACGTTCGTGGCCCATTCGGGGCTCCACCGAAGGCTCCAGGGGCAGGGCCCCGCATGCCTCCCCACTTACCCTTTCGGCACACCCTTCACAGTTTCGTGGCCCCATAGGGAGCTCCACCGAAGGCCCCAGTGGCTGCGTTCGCATGCCTCCCCACCACCCATTTCGGCACACCCCTCACACGCTTCGTGGCCCCATAGGGAGCTCCACCGAAGGCCCCAGTGGCTGCGTTCGCATGCCTCCCCACCACCCATGTCGGCACACCCTCACACGTTTCGTGGCCCCATAGGGAGCTCCACCGAAGGCCCCAGTGGCAGGGTTCGCATGCCTCCCCACCACCTATTTCGGCACACCCCTCACACGTTTCCTGGCCCCATAGGGAGCTCCACCGAAGGCCCCAGTGGCAGGGTTCGCATGCCTCCCCACCACCCATTTCGGCACACCCCTCACACGTTTCGTGGCCCCATAGGGAGCTCCACCGAAGGCCCCAGTGGCAGGGTTCGCATGCCTCCCCACCACCAATTTCGGCACACCCCCCACACGTTTCGTGGCCCCATAGGCAGCTCCACCGAAGGCCCCAGTGGCTGCGTTCGCATGCCTCCCCACCACCCATCTCGGCACACCCCTCACACGTTTCGTGGCCCCATAGGGAGCTCCACCGAAGGCCCCAGTGGCAGGGTTCGCATGCCTCCCCACCACCATTTCGGCACACCCCTCACACGTTTCGTGGCCCCATAGGGAGCTCCACCGAAGGCCCCAGTGGCAGGGTTCGCATGCCCCCCCACCACCCATTTCGGCACACCCCTCACACGCTTCGTGGCCCCATAGGGAGCTCCACCGAAGGCCCCCCAGTGGCTGCCTCCCACCACCCATTTCGGCACACCCTCACACGTTTCGTGGCCCCATGGGAGCTCCACCGAAGGCCCCAGTGGCAGGGTTCGCATGCACCACCCATTCGGCACACCCCTCACACGTTTCGTGGCCCCATAGGGAGCTCCACCGAAGGCCCCAGTGGCAGGGTTCGCATGCCTCCCCACCACCCATTCGGCACACCCCTCACACGTTTCGTGGCCCCATAGGGAGCTCCACCGAAGGCCCCAGTGGCAGGGTTCGCATGCCTCCCCACCACCCATTTCGGCACACCCCTCACACGTTTCGTGGCCCCATAGGGAGCTCCACCGAAGGCCCCAGTGGCAGGGTTCGCATGCCTCCCCACCACCCATCTCGGCACACCCCTCACACGTTTCGTGGCCCCATAGGGAGCTCCACCGAAGGCCCCAGTGGCAGGGTTCGCATGCCTCCCCACCACCCATTTCGGCACACCCCTCACACGTTTCGTGGCCCCATAGGGAGCTCCACCGAAGGCCCCAGTGGCAGGGTTCGCATGCCTCCCCACCACCCATTTCGGCACACCCCTCACACGTTTCGTGGCCCCATAGGGAGCTCCACCGAAGGCCCCAGTGGCAGGGTTCGCATGCCTCCCCACCACCCATTTCGGCACACCCCTCACACGTTTCGTGGCCCCATAGGGAGCTCCACCGAAGGCCCCAGTGGCAGGGTTCGCATGCCTCCCCACCACCCATTTCGGCACACCCCTCACACGTTTCGTGGCCCCATAGGGAGCTCCACCGAAGGCCCCAGTGGCGCGGTGCCTATGAGAAGAGGGGCCTAGTTTGCGTGCCCCCTCCTTCGTCTCATATCCGTGCGGTACTCGCAGCTGCATATGGTTGGGTCCTTCGCCAGGCTAATTTGTCCCTCCTGCGTCTTGCCATGTTCCTCCACCGCCCTGGTCGTGTGGCAGGCCCCGGGGCACGGGCCCGCGGGCCCCGCTCTCTCCCTCTGCTCCTGCCCGCAGGGCGAGGCTGCGCCCCGGACCCCGCCCGGACGAGGCTCGCACGGGAGGGGGCGGAGCCGAGAGGGCCCCCCGCGAGGCCGAGGGGCAACGACAGGATCGGGCTGTGGAACGAAGGAGCGCTACATGTATGTGGTTCCCAGCGTACTTGAGGACGACATCCCAGACATAATTCCGAGCACCCAGAAGAGTGTCGAGAGAGTGCCGAAAGAATGTCGAAAGAGTGTCTCCCAGGGCCCGACACGTGAACACCCTCGAGTTGCGAGGTCGCCCCCGGAACCCGCCTGGACGAGGCTCGCGCGGGAGGGCGGAGCCGAGAGCCCCCTGCGAGGCCGAGGGGCAAAGATAGGACCGGGCTGTGGAACATACGCCCGACGTGATAAAACAAGACGGCGCATTTCGTGGGAGCCACAAATAAGTTCTTAGAACATTGTTTGGTAGGGCTATACGCGAACCAAGACGCTTCGCCACTGCTTGATTCTCGACGTCGACCCCCTCATGAGGTCTCGGCGCATTCCCTGGGACCGGCTTCTCGTTCTGAACCGTTCTTTCTGTCGGTCCGGGGGCCTGGCGAGGGCCCCCAGAGTCATGTTGCTCCCATCGTACTTAAGGACGACATCCCAGGAATAATTTCGAGCACTCAGAAGAATGTCGAAAGAGTGTCGAAAGAGTGTCTGCCAGGGCCCGACACGTGAAAACCCTCGAGTTTGGGGGTGTTTTCTTGGTGCTCGAAATTCATTCCGGTGATGACGGCTAGAAGTAGGTTGCAACATCATAACGCTAAAGAAGGAACGAAGCCCGTTTTTTGGCACCAGCAGTGCCTGGTTGGACGGAGAGGGCCACAGGAACGACCACGGACTCACCTGAGGAACAGCGAACCCCTTCCGAATACAAGGGGGCCCTTATTTCAGCATCTTGGCTGTAGGGGGGGGGCCAGCTCGGGGGGGGGGGAACATCGGCCTGGAATCGACAACACTCTACCGACAGGTCGGCGGTGGACCCCCGACCCCGACTGCAAAACCGCACGCTCCTGGACGGGGTGGCCTATCCGACCACCATCGGCGATGAATGGGTGAGGGGGGTCGATGCGTCCCCCCCTGAGCCTACCCCCTTGAAGTTGCCCTTCCCCCCCAACCTCGAAATTCCGCTGATCTGATGTTTTCAATCCGCGGCCCCAAGTAACATCCAGACCGCTTCCCTGGTGGTAGTTTTTCGCCCGGATCAGTTTTTGATGGTCGGGCCCGCCAAGCGGCGCCATCATCGAAATCACATCAAAATGACCGTATTGGAAAGTCACTTCGTTGCACCAATGAACTTCCCCTCTAAGCCCATCCCCCCTCACGTTGCCCCGGAAAGGTAAAGATGAAGGAAACAACACAAGGCATACAACTAAACTTTCGGAGCACCGAGCAGATGTCTTGGATCGGCGCTGACCCCCCTGGCGGCGCCTCTGGCGCCGCCCTTGGCGTGCTCCGCGCGCCAAAGAGAGGAGGTCCAGAACCAATCCAAAAAAATCCGCGCGAACATCGCACGGTTTGTGCTTGTGCGTTTTTTCCGAATACAGATGCGTCGGCGATGCATCGGCGACGTCGGCGATACATCGACGCCGTCGGCGTTGAGAGAACCAGGCTCCACATCGAGCCGCATCGCCGATTCATAGGCGATGCGGCGCGATCCTCCGACCCCATCAGCTCGGACTCCACTTGGGATGCCTAGGACTTATTGATTTTCGGGTCATAATTCGGGCCTCCGGCGGCTGGCGGGTTACCATTAGGATGACGTCGGCGTTGGCTTCAGACACCGCGTGCACCGTTCAATCCTGGACGGTCGCGGCTTCCCGATCGTGCAGATCGTTCGGTATCGGCCGATTCGGGGTCGCTGGCGGCGTTCAAACTTGAACACCCGCGCCAGGGTCGCCACCGCGACAGCGGGGTGCAAAGCCACCGTAGGTTCGCGCGGCCAGGATGCGAGCACCCCGTGCGCCCGAGCTGACCCTTGTCGTGCGAGAGCGGCCCGCGGTGGGCGCCCGGTGCAACCTGCTCATCATCAGAAACCTCCCACTCGGGAGCGGCCAAGAGGGGGGTGTCCAATAGGGGGGGGGTGCAAATCATGACCGGCGGCATGTGCGCGGCCCAGCCGGGGGGGCCAGGGACGTAACGAAATAAGAGGAGGCGCCACGAAATCTGGGGAAAAATCATGGCCGCCGCCATGATATCCACCCCCCCCTAGTCATCACCCCCCTCTTTGCCGCCCCCGATCCCACATGTGGTCGGAATGGATGACGCCCAGAGGATCGCGTCGCGCTCCCCACGCGTCGCGGACGCAGCGCCGACGCGGGCGGCGCATCGGTGACGCGGGCGTGGAGAAAACCGGGCTCCGCATCGCGCCGCATCGCCGAGGCGTCGGCGACTCGGGTCGGGCGAAAGGGGGGGATAGCAAAGGGGGGTGTTGAGAATCAGCTCACGTAGCTGATTTTCCCGGCGCCTCCCGCCGCCAGAGGCGGCTATGCAACGAGGAGTGGGCCCCTCGGTGAGGCCGAAACCAGCTGCATGCAGCGAATTTCGTGACCCCCCCCCCTTTCCCAATCCCCCCCATTCGCCCGGCCCGAGCATCGGTGACGCGGGCGTGGTTGAAAACCGGGCTCCACATCGTGCCGCATCGCCGAGGCGTCGGCGACGCTGAAGGAGCTCTAGGACACACAAATAAATACACACAAATAACCGGATCCCCCATATTTTCTGGGTTTCTGTCTTCCCCCCCACTTCCCATATTTTCCCCGTATTTCCTGGGGGATCGAGGACTCATTGTGCCTGCGTGTTTGTTCCCCTCCTGAGACGCGGCGATCCCCTCCGACAGCGAGGGCACCGCTCCCTCCGCCGCGCGGGGCGCCCAGGCAGGCCTGCGCGGGCGGGCGGCCGAAGGGGGACTGCAGCGGCGGCGCCGCCGCCGGCGCGCCGAAGGGCGACTGCAGCGGGGCCGCCGCGGGCGGCGCGCCGAAGGGCGACTGCAGCGGCGCCGCCGCCGCGGCGGGAGGCCCTGCGAGCGCCTCCCCTCCCAGGCTTGCCATCGCTCGGACGTCCACTTCCCGTGCCTTTGTCGGTTTCGCGCGTGTTTTTGTTTTGTTGCTCGACGGTCCAGGATGGTCCTCGATGGTTCTCGCCGAGAAACAAGCCACACGTCCGAGATCGATGCCCAGCAGAGGTGGCAGCTGGGGGGGGGCCGGACTCACGTCAACGACATGTTTCTACAGTTCTGTCAGAGACATGAAGGCAGCAGGTGGGACGGCGCAGACCTGTGGGGCCTCCAAGCAGCGGGGCCTCCCAATGCGGGATGGGGTGGCTTCGCGAGAGGGTTCGGACCGAGGCTCCCCGAAAGAGGGCTCGGACCGAGGCTCTGGGGGGGGGCATGAGGCACGAGATGGCCCAGAAGGTAACAAGGACTCTCTCTACGCCTGGACACCCTCATCCGTTCGCGTTCAAAATGTCCCCCAAACCCCCTCCGGGCATCACTCTGGCAAGCTTTCCCAACTGTGCCCGGCCGCGGCGAAACAGAACAATCCCCCCCGGGCCGAGGCTCCCCGAAGAGGGGCAAGGGTCAAAGAAAAAATTAGCCTGGCGAAGGACCCAACCATATGCAGCTGCGAGTACCGCACGGATATGAGACGAAGGAGGGGGCACGCAAACTAGGCCCCTCTTCTCATAGGCACCGCGCCACTGAGGCCTTCGGTGGAGTTCCCTATGGGGCCACGAAACGTGTGAAGGGTGTGCCGAAATGGGTGGTGGGGAGGCATGCGGACCCTGCCACTGGGGCTTTCGGTGGAGCTCCCTATGGGGCCACGAAACGTGTGAGGGGTGTGCCGAAATGGGTGGTGGGGAGGCATGCGAACGCAGCCACTGGGGCCTTCGGTGGAGCTCCCTATGGGGCCACGAAACGTGTGAGGGGTGTGCCGAAATGGGTGGTGGGGAGCCACTGGGGCCTTCGGTGGAGCTCCCTATGGGGCCACGAAACGTATGAGGGGTGTGCCGAAATGGGTGGTGGGGACGCATGCGAACGCAACCACTGGGGCCCCTTCGGTGGAGCTCCCTATGGGGCCACGAAACGTGTGAGGGGTGGGCCGAAATGGGCGAGGGGCGGCATGCCAACTCTGCCACTGGGGCCTTCGGTGGAGCTCATTATGGGGCCACGAAACGTGTCAAGGGTGTGTCGACATGGGTGGCGCGGACGCATGCGAACCCTGCCACTGGGGCCGTCGGTGGAACTCCCAATGGGGCCACGAAACGTGTGAGGGGTGTGCAAAAGTGGGTGGGGGCGGCATGCGAACCCTGCCACGGGGGCCTTCGGTAGAGCACCCTATGGGGCCACGAAATGCGTGAGGGGTGTGCCAAAGTGGGGTGGGGGCGGCATGCGAACCCTGCCACTGGGGCCGTCGGTGGAGCTCCCTATGGGGCCACGAAACGTGTGAGGGGTGTGCCAAAGTGAGATGGGGGCGGCATGCGAACCCTGCCACTGGGGCCTTCGGTGGAGCTCCCTATGAGGCCACGAAACGTGTGAGGGGTGTGCCAAAGTGGGGCGGGGGCGGCATGCGAACCCTGCCACTGGGGCCTTCGGTGGAGCTACCTATGGGGCCACGAAACGCGTGAGGGGTGTGCCAAAGTGAGGTGGGGGCGGCATGCGAACCCTGCCACTGGGGCCTTCGGTGGAGCTACCTATGGGGCCACGAAATGCGTGAGGGGTGTGCCAAAGTGGGGTGGGGGCGGCATGCGAACCCTGCCACTGGGGCCGTCGGTGGAGCTCCCTGTGGGGCCACGAAACGTGTGAGGGGTGTGCCAAAGTGAGGTGGGGGCGGCATGCGAACCCTGCCACTGGGGCCTTCGGTGGAGCTACCTATGGGGCCACGAAACGTGTGAGGGGTGTGCCAAAGTGGGGTGGGGGCGGCATGCGAACCCTGCCACTGGGGCCTTCGGTGGAGCTACCTATGGGGCCACGAAACGTGTGAGGGGTGTGCCAAAGTGGGGTGGGGGCGGCATGCGAACCCTGCCACTGGGGCCTTCGGTGGAGCTCCCTATGGGGCCACGAAACGTGTGAGGGGTGTGCGGAAATGGGAACTAATGGCGATGGCGAATGATGATGATGATGACGATGATGATGCTGGTGGTGATGACGATGATGATGCTGGTGGTGATGATGACAGGATGGTTGGGAACTAATGGCGATGGCGATGATGATGACGATGATGATGCTGGTGGTGATGATGACGAGGATGATGATGATGATGAGATGAGGATGATGATGATGATGATGATGACGATGAGTATGATGACGGCGATGGGAGGAGGGAGGAGGGGGGAGAGGAGGAGGAGAGGAGAGGAGAGGAGAGGAGAGGAGACGCGGGGCGCTGTCTCTTCAAAACGAGGACCCAACACCACAGGATGGTTGGGAAAAACACGCGCCTTATCCACAAGGCAGGGCCCTGTTCCGACCTCAAGTCCGCCCCAACCAAGGCGGACCCGAACCGGGCAGCTCTTCGAGCCACGCCTGGCCGTGGCCCCTCGAGGACCCCTCGGCGGCGCGCACAAGGGGAGTGTTACAGGGAGGGGGGAGGGCTTCTCAGAAAGAGGCTGCTTTTTCCCAACCATCCTGTGGTGTTGGGTGGCTTCTTGATGCGCGCCCCCACTGTAGTCTCCGCGGAGCCCATCCCCCCTCTGGCTCTGGCGCTGCCTCGGAGAGGCCCCCTGGGCTCCCCGACTCGGCGGCGAACACCGCACCCTACCCTCGCCGATCAACGATTCAGGATCGATGGGCGGCGACAATCCTAGCTAGGAGGGAGGACCCCGATCATCGATCCTCTCCCTCCCTCGATGGGTCCTACCCTCGCCGATCAACGATCCGGGACCGATCCCCCCCCCGATCCAGGCACCCTCCTCGATCCGCAACTCGATGGGCGGCGGGGGCAGGAGGAGGAGGGTGAGGGGGGGGAGGAGGAGGAGGAGGAGGAGGAGGAGGAGGAGGAGGAGGAGGAGGAGGAGGAGGAGGAGGGAGGAGGAGGAGGAGGAGGAGGAGGAGGAGGAGGAGGAGGAGGAGGAGGAGGAGGAGGAGGAGGAGGAGGAGGAGGGGGAGGAGGAGGAGGAGGAGGAGGAGGAGGGAGGAAGGAGGGAGGAGGAGGAGGAGGAGGAGGAGGAGGAGGAGGAAGGAGGAGGAGGGGAGGAGGGGGAGGAGGAGGAGGAGGATGCTCGCCGCCGAGACTCGAGGGAGCGCATACCGTGGCCGTCGAGACAAGGGGTTCGGACGTCGCCGCCTGCCGACGCTCCCACGCGGGCCCCCGCTGGGCCCCCGGGCCCGCGCCCGCCCTGGCAGCCGCCGGGGGCCCGGCAGGCGGCGGGGTCTCGCGGGGCACGCGCGCGCGCCGCCGCCGCCGGAGGCGAGCGGCAAGTCGGGCCTGTCCCTCTACAGGGGGATACCCAAAAATAAGCAAAAAAGAATCCGTGGACTCTTTGTTGAGTATTTGTTTTACCATTATGGAGTATTTTGTGGGGCATTTATATATATATATATATATTTCGTCGAAAATCCCCTTGTAGGGGGACACGCCCGACTGAAGGCAAGCGGGGGTGAGCGAGGTGCGCTCCGGCATCTGCTTTTCCGGGAGACGCGGAAGGGCCCACCGGTGCTCGCGGGCCCACGAGTATGCAGCTATCACCTCACCTGTCCTGTGCCTCTCCCAGGAGAGACGAGAGGAAGAGCGGAGGAAGCGCAGACAGAAGAGGAGAGGAAAGAGGGGAGGGAAGCGGAGGGGAAGAGGAGAGCGGAAGAGGGAAGGGGGAATGGATGTGGTGTGGTTGCATATCATTGGGGCCGCAGCACCATGCCCCCCTAGACCTCTTGTTTACTGTATCGCTGCGGTGGCGCCACCTGGGCAGCGGAGGGAAAAGCGTTTCATTAGCTCGCGGCAGCTCGTGGAGATCTGCTCGGCCTCGCCAGCACCCGCCTGCTCCAGCATGCTCGTGGGTGCCGCTCCCTCTGCGACCGCCACCACCTCGGTTGAATCTCGCCCGCGGCCTGCTGTACTGGCTCGCTGTTTTCGCCCAATGTTGCTGCCGACCGTGGCCGCGGCAGAGCGCGTCGGATCGTCAGCGGCGACTGCCTTCAGCTCGGCCCCGCTGCGCGGATGGACGACTGTTCTTTTTCGGAATGGGGCTCCTCTCGCTTGAAATTCCTCGGCGCTCGTGAACGCAATTGAAAGCTTGTGCAACCATTACACGGGTGGGGTCTCATCTCCCTTCCAAAGGGGATGTTGCTAGACGCCTCGCTGAACTGCATCATCATACCTGTTCGCATTTCCTGAAGGATGTACGGTCGTTCCAATTTAAACATGTGCTCTCGCCTGAGAGGCAAACTAACAGGGTGCAATGCAGTATCGCCGCGGCATCTTGAATTTACTCTGGTTCCCTTCCTCATTCCCGCTGCGTTTCTTCAGAATTATCCTACCGAGGGACCCGGATGCAATTGTGAATGCCGCGTTCTGGCCATCGCTTTCGGTCGAACTCCCTACGCGGCCACGAAGCGTGTGAAAAGGTGCGCCGACATCGGTGGAGCCCCCTATGGGGCCACAAAACGTGTGAGTGGTGTGCTGGAAGAAGGGGGAACCACATGCGAACTGCGCCACAGAGTCACTCAGTGGAGCTCCCTATGAGGCCACAAAGCATGAGAGGAGTGTGCTGACGTGGGCGTGACGCCCACATGCGAGTTGCGCCACAATGACACTCAGTGGAGCTCCCGGCGGGGCCACGGAACGTCTGAGAGGTGTGAGACGAAACGGGCGTGGCGCCCAGACGCGAGCTGCGCCACAGAACCGCTCGGTGGAGCTCCCTGTTGGGCGGCGAAGCGTGTGAAGTTTGTACCAACACGAGTGAGCCGCATGCGAAGTGCGCCACGGAGGCACTCGGTGGAGCCCCCTTATGGGGACAC